TCTGATTACTTGCATAGGGTTTGCAATATAAGCTTATTGCTTTTCTTCTACGTTTAGAATTCAATCAATAGCATTACATGCTGTAGTATGATAACAGAAAAATGGAGTGGTTTCAAAAATGTTCAACATGTAATGATGCTCGTCAACATTTATGATTAGAGAGAATACAAGACTCCTGATTGCTGCTGTTTTGACCACAATCATGCTAACTTAAGTATGGGTTCTAGACAACTGAAAATCTAATACACTAAATAGGGGTTATTTACAAAACTGAAATACACGAAACCTTTTCACTTAGTACAACAGTGAATTGGGTTTCCACTGTTTTCCTGCTACACACAGATTTCAGCTGTTGCTGCTAACAGTAATAATAATTTTCATTATTAGTTTAAAACAGACTCTACATTGTTATTATCATCATTACTGAGCAACTATGATCATCTCAAAGAGAAAATGATTGAACTGCAAAGACCCCCTTTGAGCCCCAGGAGGTAACTATCATGTAAGGATGTAGTGAGTAGAGAAAAACCTACACATCCAAATCTTTAAGTGTCACCGACTCTTAGGGTTTAGATTTACTATAGCATGTCAGAAGCATTTTGGTCTTCCGGGTTGTGGTAGGTACTGGTTGTCATCAGCTTTCCAAAGGAACCTGTGATTCTGGTCTCCTGGTTTATGGCACTGTGTAGATTCGTAGGTGGTTACCATTTTGGAAGAATCTGCTGTCACAACCTTTATCTATACTGAAGATGAAGGTGGCACATTCCTCAAAGATGGTGGTAACCACCTATAAAAGTACATGCTGTCATAACCTGTACATCACAATCTTTAGTGTAAATGAGCTGCTCCTAGAAAAAATCTTCACCTCCTGACAGGGGTAAAAGGAGTGTTCCCTCCAACTTTTTATAATGAGGTTTTCTGTTGTCACTCTTTGGCTGAGGTTTCTGCTAGCAGCATGGACAACTCTCTCAAATAAATTACAACTGCATTACCTATGCTGCACCAGAACTGAAAGACTAATACAATACATTTCCTACTGTTTTGATGAATGATGATTATCCTGAGCATCATCAGAAATCAGCACCTTCATTTTCTTATACAATTTAGTTTATTTTTAGTGCTCCCAATCAGTTTCTTTTAGCACATATTTTTTTCTTATGGAACAAAGGTATGCTTCTGATATAATAATGCTGGCGAAACCAAATGTCTCATTTTTATGAAATTTTCAGACAATGTTATGCCATGGAAGACAATTCCAATTTTATACTGTTAATTTCCTGCACTTGGTAACAAAATAACAGATCAATACACATGTGGGGAGGGATCAACACTACTGTCATTTAATACATGATGATATATGTAGATCTGAGAAAAATATACGACTTTTAATTCATGCAATCTTTTGTAGAAAAAGAACATACATGCTGGCAGTACAAAATGTTCACTTATCGTTCAGTTTAACAGTGAAGGTTAAGGGATTATTTGAGCTAAGAATATTAAATTATGGATAAGATACTGTTTATGAGTCAATAATTACAAACATGGTGAAGGTTATATACAGTCAACGATATTCAGAAACTACCCTTTATCAACCAGTTCTTCCAAAAAAAAAAAAAAAAGAAAAGAAAAGAAAGAAAGAAAGAAAGAAAGAAAGAAAATATGCACTAATATTTCTAATATCAAAAACAATGATGATAATAATCTGCAACATATTTCCATTTGCAAGCAAGAAAAATATTTCTGGCTTGAGTAGGAATCAATCCTATGAACATTTACGCATAAACCCAGCATGCTAACCAGTAACCTAACTTGCATTTTATGCTAAACAAAAATAACCCTTATATCTAACACTAGCAACACAGAATTTGTATGATCAGAAGTGTGTAAAACAGGAAAGTGGGTTTATTGAATTTTGGCCACAATTTGTTTTATTTCATATACATACCTTCAGCGCATGTTTTAATTTATTCTATGTATAAGGTGGTTCAAATATGACCGGGACTGATTTTTTTAAACCATAATTGCGCAACACTTACCTGCAAATGTCAGTCTTCAATGTACTCCCCTCTGGAGTCAACACATTTTTTCCAACGTTCTGTAAGCATCCTGATGCCCTTTTCAAAAAAGGCTTGTGGTTGGCGGCATATCCACTCCCGAACAGTCTGGATGACGGTGTTGTCCACAAACCGCATGCCTTGCAAGTCTGATTTGAGCCTTCCCAACAGGTAAAAATCACTTGGGGCCAAATCGGGACTGTAGGGCAGATGTGCCAGAAGGTTCCATTTCAATTCCCGGAGGGTTTCCATTGTTTTGGCCATATGGGAGAGTGCATTGTCTTGAAGGAAGGCTACCCGCTTTCCACCTGTCTTCAGCCTGGATCAGATCTTTTCCTTCACGTCTGTTGCCAGGAGGTCTGAGTAATAAGATGCATTGACTGTTCTGGTATCTGTCAGAAAGTCTACATGGATAACCCCCTGCCAGTCCCAGAACGTTGCCATCACTTTTCCTGCCGAACGGCTCCTCCGCGTTCTCTTGGGTTTGGGAGAACTGGTATGCTGCCACTCGTTTGATGACTTCTGGGACTCGGGAATGAAGTAGTGCACCCACGTTTCATCGGTGGTCACTATAGACTTCAAAAATGCATCACCATCTTCAAACTGCTGTAGGAGACGACTGGCAGCTTGCATGTGCACCATTTTGTTCACATCTGTCAAAGTGTGTGGTACGCACCGTGCATTCACCTTGCGATAGTGCAGGTGGTAATTCACGATGTCTTCTACACTACCAACACTGATGGACAGCTTGCTCCAAGTTCCTTGATAGTGATGTGCCTATTCTCATGAATAAGTGCGTTTGCACAATCAATGTTTGGCTCGGTGATGGATGTTTACAGCCGACGATCATACGGTTCATTCTCCATGTGCTCTCTGCCCTCTCTGAAGCACTTACACCACTCAAACACATGGGCCCATGAGAGACACTCTTCCCCATACTGTTGTTGGAGTCTGTGGTGAATTTCAGTGGACAGGAAGTTTGCTCCGAGGAATTTGATCACAATGTGTTGTTCCACGCTCTGTGAGACCTTCTGTTCACTCATCACTCTAGCAACTCCCAGAAAGGACTGAACAGATTCTAACCCGAACAGGAGGGAGGGTGGAGGTTGTGGCTTCTCTCTCTCTCTCTCAAGGTCACACAGCTACTGTGCAGTGCGGCTTGTTTACACACAAATCAGTCCCAGTCATATTCGAACCACCTTGTAGTATCCTAGCACTTTAAGGTTATGTCTTATCAATGGACAATATTTCTGTTTGTTTTATATTAACGTATTAACCCGTTTCTTCTCTGCACCAATATTACCCGTAACTGGCCTTGCACCTGCAGTCACTATATAGGAAAGAGATGAACTGAAGTACTACTAATACCACCAGAACTTCCACATACAAAATCACTAGTTCAAGCAATGACGTATTAAGTACCAAAGTACAGTGTAACCACAATATGAAGAATTCATAAAAATGCTTGTTCCAGTGGGTACTCATGACTGAAATACATATTCCTGAATTGTCTCTTTAACTTCTAACTAGGTATATAATAATAACACCACTAATATTTAACAGAATTAATGCAGGTTCAGCAATATTTCTTAGTGGTTACCACATAGCTATGTATATAACAAAGAATAATTCAACATTCTCTATGCCTCTGGCATTATCTGAACCAAATGTTTCATACTTAAAATGACCTCCTGTCCCTTACAAGACCTGCCCATTTGCCATGTGCCTGAAACATGTGAAGAATGTACAGTCATGCCAGTTCTCATGTATGTACATTACATCACAGGACAATTTCAAATGCAGCTGATTTGCCTGTCAGCTTCTACCATGTCTTGCTTTGAGATGGTAAAGTCTGCTTTCAGAATGACGAACATTTTCCATCTTTCAGCTGCTGGCTTCTGCCTTGATCTATGTTTCATCAAATGGTATGTCAGTTGATCTTTCCTGGAAAAACCACTAAGAGTGCAGATTCTAAATCCTTATTTTCTGAGCCGTGCACATGTTTCTGTGTAACCGATCTTCAACATTTGTATGTCAAAGAAATCAATCAATGAAATCTTTGTATTTCATTCTTTAATGAACCACTGAGTCGAAAAAGATGCATTACTTCAAGCTTTGTACTGATTTTCTGCAATTACACTTCTTGCCACAATTAGGGCTGAACACTTCTTGCCTTAACATGCAGCATACTTACAGATATACTTCAAACTTCCATTCACTAGGCAAACAACACAATACACAAAAATCAAGCTATATCACTGAAGAGAAATTCAGATTAAGTCATGTTATAGAAATTTCTCATTAGCCAAAATGTGAAGAGGACTTAAAACTGATGCTGTCAATGAATGCTAAATGCAGTTACGAAAAATATTTTTCTTTACTGGGGTTATGTAACATTGTGAGGCACTGTTTTTTAAACACATATCAGGATGACTCTGTGCATGTATATCTGGCATTCCTGCCTCATGATCAAGCACATCTCCCGCAAAATGTAAAGTACCCAGATTCTCAAATGTAGACTTGCTTCTGCTAGACAAAGGAGACTACAGAGAGTAGTAAAAGTAGTTAAAAACTGCCACCAAGAAAATAGTTAACAAGTAAAACTGCAAGTATGGTAGAAGCAAAAAATAACAGGAAAAAAGTCATGGGCAATAAGGAATTACTCACTATGATAAAACTGCCAGAATTCCATATATATATATACATAATGTTACAGTATGGCACTGATGATTTTTCTCAGTTCTATTGTGGTTACACTATAACTTCATATACTAACATACAATTATAGTTTACAAAGTGCTTGAGAAAACTACTTAACATGCATCAGAAGTACAGCACAATATTTTCATTATAGTATGACTGTTTTATTATTACCAGGTTTACAATATTTTTGCTGCATTCAACGCTAATAAGTATATACACTTATCATGCAAAAAATCTACAGACCTCAGGCTGTTCATCAGCAGCATCTGGACTGGGATGTTCACCTGTAGGGGTGGAAATGTTGCCTCTAACTGACAACCTCTTTGAACCACGAAGTGGAACTTGTTTTCCTTCTCCATCTACTGGAGGTTTAGGTGTTGTCACTGTCTTCGGACTACCTAATATTCAAATGATAAATGTGATGTTATATGGAAATTACCTTCAAAAGACACATTTGATAATCTGAAAAAGTCTACACAAGTGTTTGAATTATGTACTCCTCTTCAATATTTGTTACTCTTAATGGTGCTATTGACTGCAAAGAACAGTCACTGTATCACTTATACCAAAACTTCCAAAATAGAAATTTAAATATGTAACATCAGGAGTGCAAACACACTAGGACTACAAAGTCTGCATTCATGCTTCAGCAAAATTTATATAAAAAATGAAAAATGCTATCTTCTGGGATGTGGCGCCATGTAGATCTCGTGTGAACCAACATTTTGGATGAAAGTATTGCCTACATCTTCAGGGTAGAAAAATCTGTGAGCAAGGAACCAGCATGAGCAGGTATCTGCAGAATGAGCCACCAGTCTAAAACACCCAGCTATATATAAATAAAGGGACGGAGAGTGGGCCACATGGGAAATCAACAGAGAGGGCAGAGGAAGGGTCTGTAGAGATGGGTGAGCAGGTAGCAGGCCAAAGGCGATACAGGTTCGCACGGGGGGGGGTTCCAAGTGATTATAAAAATTGGCAATAAAATAATTTCAAAATATGAACCTGTATAAATTCTTGGGAAGGAAAACTGGACATAAAATTAAATTCATAATTAAACTCAGAGAAAATAAATTCAGGAACAACCTATTACATATGATGTTTTCATGGCAATGAAGATTCATATTATTGTGGTCTGGGCTGTGACAGATTGTAGTCTATTTGGTTTCCAATGATTCAGAGAAACAAAATGCCTCCATCTTCACAGTACAGATGAGAATAGTTTGGAAAATGCCCAATTATAAAGGAGCAGGGGGAAAATAAATGGGCAAAGCAGAATACAAGTGGACAATCAGAGCCATGAATGGGGAATATGTGGGTAGGGTACAGAGCTTTGTATTGCATTCTGAGGGATGAGAAAGCAGATTTAACTCATTCTATATTCCCCCTGTGTGCTCACAGCCACCCCCCCCCCCACACATACATGCATGCACGTGCACACGCACCCACACCCCCCTTATCATCTAAGAATAGGAGTTTTAAAACTGCCAGTACTACAGGGGTGGAAGCCAATTTGAACTCAAGGTAACAGTTTTATCATCTGAGAATAGGTTTTAAATCTCCTGCTTCTGCATGTCTGGCTGCCATACTTAAACTTGTGGGGTTACAAGTAGATTCTAAACGGTTCTGATGATGGTGGATGACACACAGAATTACTGGGTTTTTGGACTTTTTCATTGTCCAGCATTCTAAGTAACAGAGGACATGACTTTTGGAAACTGGATCTGTTTCCCTCTTCAGGTGAGAAAGCAAGTTGGGGCCCATAGAAAGAGCTAATCTCAATCACTGGACCAGATTACAGTATCAGCACTTAAAAAATGAACACCTGGCAAGCTGTACAGCACAATGCACTCACCCCCAAAATTATCTTAAAACTGGGAAAATCCAAAATATCTTTTGAAATTTTTAGGTAAGACAGAAGAATGACACAAGGATGAACAAAAAAAAAAATGGAATGAGAAATGAATATGGATAACAGGAAGTGAAAGTATGAAACGGATACAGAAGAATGGAGGCGAGACCTTGTTTTGAGGAAGGATGAAAAGAACAATGGCAGGATAGACATGAGATGGAAAAGTAATACCACAAAATGGAAGGAGATAGATATAGGTATAAATGAATATAGGACAGAAGGAAAAAACTTATTAACCCCCACCACCACCACAACCAACAAATTTGACAGGAAATGTATGTAAACACCACAAACAACAAATAGAGTTTCTGAAACTGCAGTGTACATTTTTCTGTATAGGAACCCTAATAGCAGATAACAATAACAGAAACAAAAAATTATAAATACTGCTGTCTCAAAATTAATGCTAGCATCTACTCACAACATACCATTTGTTTCCGGAACACCACCAAGTCCTCCTTCAAATGTCTCTTCATCCAAAAACTTCTTAGGCTTGATTTTTCGTCCAGACCTACTAACAAGTTCTTGTTTGGGAGGGGACTGTGTAGGAGAACTTGGAGTATTAGAATTTGCAGACGCCCCCACAACTGAAGCTACAGATGGCTCTGATGACTTTACAGATGATTCACTGGTGTTAGAAGCTGATTTTCGGGAGAACTGCACTGACCCTCGCTTTGCGCGTTTTGATTCGGTTTCATGCTGATAAAAAGTGAGTAGAAAATGCTGTATTAATTCAAGCAAATGTAACATAAAATTGTACCATGGCTTGGCTGGTTAGTCACTTGCTTCTTAATGCGGTGGCCTGGGTTTAAGCCTAGGTTTGTTCATGTGAGGCTTGCAGTGAATGAAGTGGCATTGACACAGACTTTCTCCAAGTACTTCGGTTTTCTGTGCCAATTCTCATTCCACCAGAATGTTCCATTTCTCCCATCTGTCATTCATAGATGCTACAACTAGCCATTTAGGACCCAAGTACCAAGAGATTAAGTCTTGCTCCACCACATGAATTAATAAATAAATAAATATATAATATAAATCTATGAACCAAAAACGGGATAAGTATTTTGGGCTTAAAACACTGGATTATGTTTTCAAGAACAGTGAATTTAGTGTTGGTCTCACATAACCTAAAATACAATGAAGTCTTCATGAGGGGCAGTTTATATGAATACTACTCTGGGGAAATTCTTAAATGGAGGAAATGTAACACTAAGATTAACTTGGGATCACTGAAATTGAACATTACATGAGGGAAAACCTTTCACAGAGGAAAATCAAATAAGGAGTCCACTGTGTTTGTCACTATGTTGACACTTTTAAACATAAAAATGTTTCCTGCAATATTTAAACACAGTTTCACATTGTATCACATTTCGTATGCCTATATGTAATGGATACGTTTGCTACCAACAAATCAAAATTGTCTTGTATGGATGCCATTACTGTTACATTCCATTTTAGAAAAAACTGGCTATAACATAAATTAAATAATATTGTAATGTGTATAGCTAACCAATGGCGCAATAAACATCTCCTTGCGTAAGGGCGATCAACAATAGGGCAGATGTTTGTAGCTCATTGCTAGGCAACAGTCAGTGTGCCAATGGGTTGGCGAGATGGCTATCATGGCTATCATGTGACTGGCTTCCTATGGAGCCCGTGCCATAACCATTGCACTTCTCTTGCCTATGTCTCATCTTACATTGAATGGAAGATATATTTCATTTGTAAATTGTGTGAAATATCTCGGAGTAATCTTTGATAGGAGGGTTACTTGGAGACTGCACATAGAAATGATCGAAGCCAAGGACTTCAGAACATTTATAAGATTGTATTCCCTACTCAAAAGTGAGCAATTAAGTTACCCTGCACAAAGCTCTCATTAGATCTGTAATTATGCTAGTCCCGCCTGGGAATTCATGGCAGATACCCGTCTAATGAAACTGCAGCGCATACAAAACAAGTTTCTCTGCACCAAGGCGCACACCGGTTCACGAATTACATACGGCTTTCAAAATTCCATACGTATATGATTATGCAACAAAATTATGCAGGCAACAAGCGAAGTCATACAAACTCATGATAACGAAAACATCTGCAATATTTGACAAGGCAAAGCCTGACATCGAAAGTATAATAGGCTTAAACTTGGCGGCGATCAAGCATACGCCCGTTCAAGTGACTAGAATGCCGTTGTAGCAGAAGCTACTATAATAGTGTAAAATCTGCTGTACTGAGCCTGGACCGACAGAGGCCCTGTATGTATTGTATAAACATTTTAACACATTTAACATATAAAATGTAAACATCTTTTACATTATGACAAATGAATTACCACTGCAGACCATGACTCTGACAAAGACAGACCCGACCTCTCGTCAGAGAGGGCACCCCACAATAACAAGACCTAAACTGTCAAACACTAACAAACATCTGGACATGAGCCCCAGATTGGGTACAACACCAAGACTGCCTGACAGACTGACTGACCATCAGTCACAACGTGACTTTGACGTAGTAAATTGAGTCATAAGCTGGAGGAGCAAACTGACACCAGTATTGCAGGAGAGTACAGGAGGTCAGCATGTGAAGAATTTGTGTGTGAATCAGCAGACTTTTTTGTGTGGTAGTAAAGTGATATTGGGAGTGTGTGATCCACTGAGACTGTTATAATTTCTGTGTTCAGATCCACTGCCAGGAGATCACTAGTGAAGACTGGGAATCCTAGTGAACGTGCAGGATTGTGTGAATCAGGAAGTGCTGTACTGCCTGTATTTGAGTGTGATTTAAGAGAGGCTGTAACCAAGGTGCCAATAAATCCAATGTCCAAACTAGAACCAATCATTCTCGTCAGGCATACCACCCTACACATGACAATATAAACAATATAGCAAGGTGAGGTAAAATGGTAAAGTTGTCCCTGTGCTTAACTAATTAAACACTACACCATGAAGGTGTATGGGGAGCGGATGTACAGGGCACTAGGTGGAGGTGAGTGGTCAGCTTCAAGCACCGGCTGCTTTACCCCCGGGGAAAGAGACCCCATTGTCCATTGGATAGGAGGCTGGGTGGGCCCCAGAGCCGGTCTGGACGATGTGGAGAAGAAAAAATTCTTGATCCTATAGGGACTAAAACTCTGACCCATCCATCATCCAGCCCATAGCCAGTCGCTATACTGACTGAGCTATCCTGGCTCCTATAAATAATAGTTAATAGTATTAATGGCAAATCAAAGTATTTATTAGGTCTGTGTAAGAGGTATATTTATGTAACTGTGAATATCACCATACTGAAGCCACAGGATGAAGTCCCGTGGATAACAGGGATAATGGTGGTTCTTGAGGCTTCCCACCCTCTGCCTACTGCTGTATTCCCCTACAGCCCATAAGCTGTGTCAGCCAGCCCAAGTGCTTTCCGCTAGAAAGGGTTATCATGTGTGCATAGTCCTGTATGCAGAATGGCTAGACGAATGGAGGGCAATATATGAAAGCAAGCAGGAGAGGGAAGTGTAAAAGTTGATGACAAAAATGGAGTTGGTTGATCCATGGGCACTCTTTCCTTGCTCTCAGTACAGTGGCAGTGGTGTGAACTATATAGTTAAATTCTACTGTTAAATAATGCATCCAGTTAATGCATATAATAATGAACGCTTCGGAATAAAATTAACTTGACAATGTTTCAGATGAAAGCAGAAAAGTTAATATATTAAACAAACCTCAGCAGTGCCTTCACTTTCACGTTTACGTTTTGTAGCAACCTTCTTTTTTTCATCTGTTGATGCAGAACGATTCTGTTTGGTTGCAGGTGTTGTACGCTGCGGTGTTTCATCAATAACAAGGGCAAATTCATGGTCACTATCTGCATCTTCAACCCCTCCTGTTGCCTTAGCTTCAGAAGTTTCCTATTAAAGATAATATGTGCAATTACGTAATTGGTTACATAATGTAGACTGTAATACAGGACTAGAACAGGCCTACCTGCCATGCCAGTTGACAAATTCTACCAGATGCCAGTTAAAAACAGATCAACTTCCTCAAAATTTTGTAACAGTAATACAAAATTTTGAGATTCTGTGATAAGAACTGCTACTTTGTTGCAATCTGTAAAATATTTTACTGACACTGTTATTTACAATGTCCAAATGGCTGCCAAATAATGACCATGATATGAACAAAATGGCAGCATAAATGAATTTTTATTTACCAAAAAGCAAACAGTTTGTAAAATGTGCTACCTACCATCTGACTGTTACTTCCATTCATCTTTAACACAATACTCACTGATGCCGGTACAGGTCCCGCTGCTGGTACAGGTGTTGGTTTCTCAGTAACTGCCCCACTCAGTATCTGTTCCACTTCTGCAAGGGCCTCATTAAAACCTTTCCTTTTCAATGGTTTTCCATATTTCCCTTTATTCTCTGTATATGAAAACAAATCCTCCACTTTGCACATAGCACTGAAAATATTAAAAGGAACAAAGTTGGTAAACTTACGGCCTTATGAAACTATAGTCATACATAGCCCATTGTCTCCAGATTATGAAGTAAGAATTTGATAATGTAGGTTGTTTCAGGAATCAACATTCAATAGACTTCTCAGCCCAGACCTTTCATTTTATTCTTGATAATACATGCTTCACTTTAAGTGGTCACGCAAACTACCAAAGTAACAGATGTGCCAGTGCAAGATTTAAAAACTGGGATTCCAAGCGTAATTAGTTCACAGAGGATAAGGGGGCTCATACTCTTTTAATGAAATAATAAATTCCAAATGTTATGTGAGACTGACTGACTCTGGCATTCTTCTTCAACAGAATCCATGATGATGAAAAATCATACAAACATTTTATGCAAGAAAACAAAATGGCACACATGGATGCATTACATGAAACTGTCAATGAACAAGTCAAAAGTTGAGAACTGTGGTCTCCACAATCACCCAGTTTAAATCCTTGTAATTTTATTTGTGGGGCACACTAGAAAACGTGACTAAATAATCCATGCTCTTTGGAAGAACTTCAAGAAAACGTTCCCATACAGCAGGTTAAATGTGCCTAGAAACATATTCTCACAATGTGAGACATACTTACAAACAAAGAGTCATCACTTTGAGACTCCTCTATAAAAAAAAAAAAGGTAAGGTAAACTACAGTGGAATTATCAGTTACTGTGGTTTGCCTGTGCAAGAAGACTGCATATATCAGCACTGCAAACCACCTAATGATAAACTGTACATTTGGTACCATACTATGTAACAATTCACATCATACAGAGCACACTTTAGGCAAATAAAACTAAGATTATGGACTGAATAACAATTAAGACTTTCAAATTCTAAACTATGAAGAGACCTGAAAATCAAGAAGTTACTAAAGAGGACTAAACTGGGAGGGAGGGGGGGGGGAACAGCAATTCAGTTATTAAGGGATTTGTATACAACATTATACACATCATTAAAAGCACTGAAGGAAAATTAATACAGATGAAACAGTAATTCAAGCAGATCAATGACAAAAATGTACAGAAGTATTAATACAACAAAACACAATAAAACTAAATAAAATGCTTGCTGCCATGCATTTCACAATCTTCAGGCTGTTTACTTCCTATCCCAAAGGATAAAGATTAATATATACAGAATTATGATTGTGTGTGTTGTTATGTATAAATGTGGAACTTGTCTGTGACATTAAGGGAAGAATACAGATTGCAGGTGTTTAAGAACAAGGTGCTAAAGAGAGTATGTGACCTAAAGGTAGGGAGTTCTTGAAGGATGGGGGGGATGCATAATAAGCAAATTTCATATTTTGTACAAAATGGGTACAAAATTTTGGCCAAAAAACCTGAAGGGAAATGTTGCAGCTGAAATAATAATATTAAAACGGATGCCCTAAAGACAGGACATAAAAACATGGACGGAATTCATCTAGCTCAAGACAGAGTCCTGAACATGGTAATCAACTTTTCAGTTCCATAAATTAATTTTTATCAACCAAGTACTATAAGCTTCAGAAGAACTCTGCCCCACACGGTTCAAAGTGTAATGCTCACACCATACAGTTAAATATGACACCATTACCGAGCATTAATTTTAAAGCAGTAATATGTATGGGAAAATCGTTTGCTACCTCTATCTCTGCTGAAGGTCTCATCGGCAATTCCCATTATTTTAATTTTGGATGTGTGTTCAACTCCAAGCAGCTCAGCTCTCTGTAGGAGCACTATTGTGCGCACATCCAGTATTGTCTTTCTGGTAATTACTGTACAATGACTGTACCACATTTCCAGTCAAAATGTAAACATATTTAAATCAAGTAAAGAATGACAAGTGTACATCATACTGGCTCAATTACAAAAAGGTGACTTTTATCGACAATCAGGTTCATAATATTCAGTTACACTATAATAGTGGCTAACCACAAGCCCCTTCCCCTACCACAAAGAGTCTGAGGTGGTCCCTACCTCAAGAATACCTAGCAGCTCAAGTGAAGAAAGTGGAGATGTTGAGTGAACATTAAAAATTCCACATAGATTCTGGGGGTTATGGTGTTTAATGCCCAGAATTACTGGATTGTTGGACTGGGTTTTCGGACTTTATCCATCATCCGGATTCTAAATAACTAAGGGGAAAAAAAAAGATTCATTGGTCTAAAGACGACTGAACTGCGCCAATTATTTATAAAATGGGACATATACAATATAAAATGCAGCAAGTTATTCAATTAGTTCAAGAATTATAAGCCTGAATAAGAGGAAACTTACGTTTCTCCAGTTCCATAGAATGACACATGATACCTCCCTTTACTTGCAGCTGGATCTGCCACTCCAACAACCTGTAAAAAGAAAATATACTGCCTTATGCAACCAAACTATTCATTATATTGTTTCAACATCTGATATGCAAGGCTAATTAGATTACAAACCACAACAGAACACATAATAATAGAGCCTCTGCAAATGGAAACTTTCTCTCTATACAATACTTCTACATAATCATAGTCCGATTATGGCACCTATCCCATCTCTTTATCATGGCCTGAAAACCAATGTAAAGAAGGTCCGTCGGTTGCAGTGTGAACCACCACTTTGAATTATACAATATTCATAATATGCCTGCTACCAAAATGATATTTAAGCACACCAAACAAATGGAATTATTTTGGGCTAAAAGAGGGTTGTAGGAGATAAAAATCAAAATATCACAGACTAGGCCACACGAGTCCCTTGTGGGCAGTATGTGGTCATGCAATGTAGTGGAGGAAAATATTAAGAGTTAACACCCTACGCTGTGCCTCCACACTTTGTGGAGGCACACACACAGTGCCATTCAACATTAACTATATCCTCACATTTCTGGAAATGCAGGAAAATGCCTTGCATGTCCTTGCAAAACATCACCTTCTAACATGATGATACAGCTTCAAACTTCTTGGACATGGGTAAAACCAGGGACTCCTTACTGCATGCATTTGTTTTTTCACAACTTTATAATATCTGTTATCGGGGATGACAACATTTTTTAAAGTGTGACTGCCTCACAGATATTCTGGTGAAGACAGTAACATGGATCATTAATTTCCGGGGGCCTTAGTGTGGCTCTCACCTCACATAGGTAGCTGAGATTTATTTCTTCCTGTTACTGTATTTCATATATACATACACATGCTGGTCACTTGTAAAACATCAGAAAAATAAACTGATTTAAAAGCATTTTTAACTTTTTTGAAAGCAGTTCCCCATTTCCTTTACGCCACAAGTGAGACCAAATAATCCAAACTCCAACTCCCAAATACCATGAGGGAAACTAATTTCCAATCCAACAATTCTTGGTCACCTTTGGTGACCAGCCAAAGGTGCTTCCTGACATCTCTTTGTCATAGTTTGCTTTATGTTAAATTGCTAAACTCAGTGTAGTTATATGGAAGATTATTTGAAATGTCTTCAGCCCTTACATCAGTGAAGCAAAGTAATTTTTCGGTCTATGGCCAACACATACATTTGGACCATCACTCAGAAATAAATGTGCTATGCACAGTCATTTAAAAATAAATTCATATATGTAATAGGGTAAATTGTGATCAGTTGACTCTATTGAATAAATTCCCTTCAGCAAAGGCTAAAATGTCTGAAATTACTGGCTCAAAAACATCATTACAATGGTAGAGCCAACCAAAAGTGAGCCCGTAAGATACTGAGCAAAATATATGAACTGGACCAAATCACTAACAAATAGGGTCAGTGAGTCATACAATTACTAACACACCACTACTACTATAACCCCAAAGAATATGGACTCACATGAAGGGAGATGTGGACATAAGTGTTTATATTGGAAGATGNTTAAAAAAAAAAAAAAAAAAAAAAAATAACATCAGCAGATTTTGTGAAAGAATTGGGCAGCACAGTATTACTGTCCTGGACACAGGTAAGTTAACACTTCAGCACTGAGTAATTTATGTGAATATGAGATATGTTAGTTCATTAGAAGTGGCAATGAACATCCAGAAGTTTCCTGAAGTTTGAGTTCTCTAGAGAAAAGTATTCTGAATCTTGTTAAAACAGCAAAATCAAGTGGTATATTAACTATAAACAGGTAAACTAAATGTCAGTGTTGAGTTTTAAACTGTATGAGGTTAGGGCAACTTCCAACAGCATAATGCTGATACCAAGTTATGAGAAAAACAGTAACTAACATAAAGGAAACAAACACAGGACAGTGATCCCATAAGCCTACTACTTCCCCTCAAAAGGGAGAGGCAGGAAAATCTCTTCTGGAATTTTGCCAGAATGATAATACAGGAATTTAATTTGTCCTTGAGGAGAGACTTCAGAAGTTTCCCTGACCCTCTTAATATAAACTCTGGGAAGGACATACAGAGGTGATTAAATTCATTCCAAATCATCACCACAAATGTGATTACTCTTATTATTACCACTTCTTCAGTTCGATATAGTATAAACAGAGGTAAGCAAAAACAAAAAAAGTTCAATGTTATCTCTGGGCTTAATTAAATAAGCATCAAGCTGTGAAGATATTAGGGGAAGTGGAGGTATAGCTTCACCATTCTTAACCTAAAGACTAGATTTAGGTGAGTGGTCAGCTCCATGCCTCTGCTGCTCTTCCCTTGGGGGAAACAGCACTTGGTATCCACTGTATAGAAGCATGGATGGGCCCCAGAGCCAGTCTCAACATACTGGGAACAGAAAAACCTCTTGCCCCTACTGGGAATCAAATCCCAACTCCTCAGTCATCGAGCCCAGTAGCAATGCCAACTGAGCTATTGTGGTTCTCTAGGTGAGAGTACATCAAAGACCTCAAATAAATGAACTTACCTTTGCAGGCCATGGGGGGTATCCACGCACTTTGGCAAAGACTTTATCCCCCAAACTAAACTTCTTTGACATTTTTCTCCAATGAGGTTGAATAACTCTGAAAAAGTTGCATATTTCTGATTAGAAAGAAGAAAACAACAATTCAATTCCTGTGAGAGCTTTATAACAGGAGCACTATAAATATATAAAAAACTAAACATGTGCTACTTTAACACAAGACAGTGATAAGAGGAACAAGAAGCTCAGGTAAAGTGGTACAACAATATACATACAAATATATATATAAAAACAAAACAAACTCCATGGCCTGTAATCCGCAAGCGAACTATACCTACCGAGCAACTGCCGCTTGTCGGCGAAGTTAGTGCCAACTTTAGGGGATAGAGGGTGCTGCGTGTTCAGTGCAACAGATCTCCATGGTTGTTAAATATACGAGGTACAGTCATTAAGTTCGTGGCCTGTGGTTTTATCATATCATATTACAAGATATTCACATATACTTACACAGAGCCACATTGGCCTTCAAAATAGTTGTTGCCATTGGCCACTATGCAAGTATGCCAACATTGATATAGCTTCCAAAAACATTGCTGAAACATACTGGCAGGAAATTCCCGTATGGCATCTCTTGTGGCACTGATGACCTCCTCAGACGACTGAAATCTACGACCATGTAGCTTTGCTTTCAAGCAGCGAAAGAGAAAGAAATCGCATGGTACGAGATCAGATGAGTATGGAGGGTGTGGCAAAACAATGACCTGTTGCCTTGCCAGTTCCTCTTAGACAAGAACAGAGCAATGTGCAGGGGCCTTGTCATGTAGCAACAGCCAATTCTTCATATGCCAAACATTTTACTTGGGGATCTGCCTAGTTTTTGACAGAGCTTGATGGCTGTCCGTTGTTCAAACTGCCACATTTTCAGTTTCCACCACTTGCATTTAACTGCAGTTCACAATAGAGGCAGCAGTTCTGCTTACACTGTCTGCACACAACTGCCTCTTGCTGTGACGAGATGAACTGACAGGGCACCATATTGTGACTCAACCTATCTGCTGTAGTGCACTGCAACAACGCTTTGCGGCCAGTCCACGAACTTATTGACTATGGTAGTATATAAAAAAGGTAAAGTCCCTGTGCTTAACTAATTAAGCACTATGCCATGAAGTCATATGGGGGAGTGGATGTATAGATCCACATTTTCTTGACCTTGGCACTAGCTGGAGTTAAGTGGTCAGCTTCATGTCCCTGCCGCTTTAACCACGAAAACAGAGCCCCCCAGTACCCATTGCACAAGAGGTTGGGTGGACCCCGGAACCAGTCTGAACGACGTGGAGAAGAGAAATTCTTGACCCTACTGGGACTCAAACTCCGACCTCTTTGTTGTCCAGCCCACAGCCAGTTGCTATACTGACTATCTATGGACTGGATGGCAGATTCAAATCAGTAGAAAGATGGCTCTCTCTAGGAGTACACTACATCCTGTTAATATGTGCGAAGGTAGCCCAGCATGTATCAACAACATTGCTCCTGAATGTTCGTTTTTAGAGATTCCGAATTCATAACACTCTCATAAGAAGTCCTAACAAAGTTAATCACCATCCTTGCCCAGACACTATGGTTGTACCAGCGTTTAAAATCTTACAGTCAGAACATGAGCTGGTATAGCTCAGTCATTACAGCAATGGGCTGGGGTTTGAATTCCAGATGGGGCAACATTTTGCTCTTCTCCACAGAGTCCAGACCAGCTCTGGGACCCACCCAGCCTCCTATCCAATGGGTACCAGGGGTTCACCAGCATTAAGCATTAGGCTCAAGAATGGTCTTGAAGGCATAGTGCTTAATTAAGCACGGGAACTTTACCTTACAGGAAGTTATATTATTCTTAACTATCCTGTATACATTAACTTGCATTAACAGACATCTGAACCAAATACATTACGAACAAGTTGCGCCTTCACCACTGAGCTAATATTGATTGATTGACTGATTTATTTCGTCACTGTAGATCATTGTACATGATATATGACAAGTCAAGTTAATTCTGAATATTAACAATTTGATATATAAGTAGATTAAAATTACAATAGTTACAATTTTACTGCTGATTACAATTTAGAATTGGTTAGATATTCTTATTTGTGGAGAATTTGATGGAATGAACATATGTTCAGTAGTCCTACATGAGGCAGAGTTCTCCCTATATCAGTTGGATACAAAGCATTTACTTGTGAACCACCATAAACTGGTCAAAATACGCTATAAAAGTCTGTGACCCAAACCAGCATTTGCTAATAACCAGAGAACCGTTGTCAGCTGAACTGATTTGCTGATGTTTATAAACTATTGTAACTGTGTATCTGTTATTCGGTACAACAACATAATAGCCTTAACCTCACATCACTAAGCTTACGCTTCATGCTTCTCGCTCGATGCGCCACCGTAAGCTCCAATATCTGCTAATCAGCACTCACAAGTTAATACGAAGCCCTCGCTTTCCTTACTCAGAAACATAGTTCTTCATGCCCAAAACCCATTACAAATAAAATTCAATGGCTCAAGGCTGTATAATCAATATATATCTTACCTCGGCAAATATATCAACAACGCATTCAACCTAACAACAAACTTTTACTAGAAATGGCGGGCACAGTTCCACACGACAACGTTCTGAAACTTCAGAAATATAGTAAAACATGAACAGTCAGCATCACCAACACGACAAATTAAATATCTGCTTGAAGAGTACAATCTTCTAGAACACTGCCCAGTGAAAAACTCAAATTCATATGGAAAATTTCGCCTGAATTAATATGTATGTCTGTGTGAAATTAAGACACATTCTTAAGCCATGAACATTTTTTTCAACTGGCAATTGACAGTTTAATTACCGTTATACTATATGCCACNTGCTCTGGAACCTCAAATCCTATATATATTGTTCCTGTGAAATGTGGTATATACTAAGCAAAGCGAGTAAACAGCGGTGACGTAACACGGGACGCCGCAGTTGCTAAGTAGCCGTAAACAACTACCAACAGCGTTGCTAGTATATCGCCAAACAGGCAACCAGGCAACAATGAAGCGAGGCGTTTTCCCGTTGTCCGGCTGAGGGTTTATAAGAGACCTACACTGCCTACGAAATCAGTTCTAAAGACAGCAGCCTACGAGTTGAGTTGGAATCTAGCCAGCGGAGAGTTACGAGTTGGTGTGCGATACAGCGACACTTATATAGTGGTCAGAAACTCAACACGTTACATTTGGTTCGTCTGTGCATACTGTGCAACTGTAATAAATATTATAGAACAGTTCAAGAAGTGGTTGTCTCGTCACATAATGTCATCCCACAGGCTTTTTGGAAGTTTTGGAGAAGATGTCCCATCTTCAGAGCAGGAGGAGCTGTTTATTCGCAAACTGCGACAGTGCTGTGTGGCATTTGACTTCATG